TTGAAAACATTATGCCGAGTGAAGTAAGTCAGACACAAAATGATATGATCTCGTGTGAAATATCTAGAATAGGTCACTGCAAAGAGACTAAAATTTATTAGTGCAAGTGGGAGGGGGGAAGGAGGAGCTGTTGCCCAAGGAGCACTGACCTTCTGTTAAGGGTGATAAAAAAAAATTTGGAAACTTACAGAGGTGGTGGTTGCACACCATGACGAACATAATTAATATCAATGAATCGTTCATGTAAAAATGGTTGAAATGGCAAATGTTTTGTTATATATATTCTACCACAATAAGTATTTGTATTCAGTTTTATAATTCATATATCTTATGCACCATATTTGCATTTTTCTTTAAGTTTTGCCTGGTCCAATATTAAATATACTTTGCATTCTCTAAGTAAACACTAAGGTACAGAAAAAACACCTTTTGTATGCCAAATGTGTCTTAAGCATCAAAAAAAAAAAAAAAAAAACCCAACGCTGTCAAGTCGATTCCGACTCATAGCGACCCTATAGGACAGAGTAGCACTGCCTCATAGCGTTTCCAAGCAGCCAACCTTTTGATTAACTACTGTGCTCTGTCTTAAGCACCAGTGGGAAGAAAATACAGAATTAAGAATTGGTTAATCTACATAATGTACAATCCACACTCAGATAATCAGAAGTTGAGACTACTATAATTAACTTTATCAGAGATTATGAAGAGTGATAACTTATTTGTCCAAACTCAAAGGATTTTACATTTTCTCTTAGCCCTCTGGTAGGTCATTGATCACACAAGAGAGGTGAATGGAGCAGATATCTCCATTTGCTAACGGAAAACGGGCCACAAGACCATGATTAAAAATCTTTTCTGATTTGATGAAGAAAAGAGATAAGGGTAGACAGGGAGTTGGAATTAGTTTGCAAAATAAAAGTAAGCCCTCTTCCAGGAAATTGCGCAGTTAGCAAGATGACAATAAAATCTGAAAGCTGGATAGATTAAAGCACCACTATGTTGATTGTCTGCAACCTTAGGAATCCAAACAGCCTAAGTTGGAAAACGGTGGATGAAATCAAATCAATAAATATGAACCAAATACCTATTTTCATAAAAAAGTACTTCCGGGAAGGCGGGCATATAATGATCTCAGAAAGCTTAGGGTTCAAATTTTAATTCAGTGAAACCAACATTAACGGAATACCTGGAAATATCACCATATGTCATAAACTGTGCCAGGCACTGAGAATCCTTTCATAGATCAAGCAGCTCCCAGTATAGACTGAGCCTATGAGCAAAGAGAAAACATGAACAGGCGTCTTAATATGAACAGGTGTCTTAATGTCTTTGACTCACCAGTTTTAAATGATAGAAATGCTGATGCCAAGTATTAATGTCTTTAAATGGTTTGTAAATCTCTTTAGAATAGAAAACATAACATTAACCATAGTGCAAGAAAACCAATCGGACTGTAAGTTTATAGCTCCTCCCCAGTTTTAATGTCGGAAGGAAGGGGGAGAACGTGGGCTCTGTGGAGTGTAACCCATTTTCAAAGTTATGGAGACATAGCCAATAATGGAAAAATGGCTAAATAACAGATAGTATATCTGATAGCATACTGTATAGTTTTTCCAAAGAATATTTGGAAAATGATAGAATGATAGAAAAACTCTCACAATTTTATGGGAAAAGAGTATAGAAACTACAACTCAGTAATATTGCTAATGATAATGGCTAACATTTATTTTAAAAATTAGTGTGGCAGGCATGACACTGAGTATTGATATGTATGCTTTCACTTAATCTTTACAACAACCTCTGCAGCTTGAGGTAGTTTTACAACTGAGGAAACTGAGGCACAGAGGATAAGCAATTTGTCTAAGTTCCCCAAAGAAGCAAGTAATAGAGCCAGGATTCAAACCCAGCTTCAGAGCCTGGACATTTAAATACAATGCAATGTAATTCAGAAAGTTATTTTTCCTTCAGATAAACTGTTGGGTCTAGACCACGTGAGAATTTACAAAGAACAAATATTTAAGAATCTCTCCTTATCCCCTTACCTTATTTGTCTTCATAGCTCTGATCACTACCCGACATTTACATTATATAAGAATTTATTTTTATTGCTTCTAACCCACTGGAATGTAAGATTCATGAAGAGAAGAACTTGGTCTGACTTATTCTCTGTTGGAACTCCAGTATCTAGAATAGACTGATGCATGAGACACTCAAAAAACCATTTGCTGAATGAAAGAATATCTGTTGCTGTCGAGTCAATGCTGACTCATAGCGACCCTCTAGGACAGAGTAGAACTGTCCACAGGGTTTCCAAGGCTGTAATCTTTATGAAAGCAGACTGGCCCATCTTTCTCCCTCAGAGTGGCTGGTGGGTTCAAACCGCCAACCTTTCGATTAACAGCCAAGCACTTAACCACTGCGCAACAGGGCTCCTTGAATGAAAGAATGGATAAGTTAAAATAAAAAAGAAGAAGAAGAATAGAGAATAAAGGAAGGAAAGACCTGTACAGCATGGGAAGTTCCCTCAGATAGGGTGTAACAGATCTAGGAACGAAGCCTCCAGCCTCACCTAAGGGCTGAAAAGGAGCAGTCATATGCCCTCTAGTCACTAGTCCATGCCCATAGAATCTGTAGGCAGTTGAATCTTCACCTTGGGAGCTCACTCTGCCTTCTTCTGTTTCTTTGCCTTATAAGTCTCCACATCTACTCTTCCCTTTTCCTTCTTTCTCTCCCCTTGCCCAAGTTGTTGTCGTTAGGTGCCCTCTAGTTGATCCTGGACTCATAGTGACTCCATGTGACGGAGTACAACTGCTCCATAGGGTTTTCTAGGCTGTGATCTTTACTGGAGCAGATTACCAGGTCTTTCTCCCTCTGAGCAGCTGGATGGATTCGAACTGTCAACCTTTCAGTTAGCAGCCGAGCACTTAATTGTTATACCACCAGGGCTCCTTCCCTTCCTCATAATAGACCATAACATCAAATTGAGGTGTATTTGTAATTATTTGGCTGAATATTGTTGACAAAATTGGACACTTCTTCATCTGAATTTTAAAACTAAATGAGTTTAACTTTTTAAACATATTTCTTCAAAAAAATCCAATTTTTGTTTCTTATTTTTGTGATCATGAATTGATGGCTTTTTTTTCTCTGAGTCCATGGAATCTGATGACATAAATATATAGTATTTCTAAATCTTATAACAACCTAGCAAGCTTCATTGTTTTGCTTTTTTAAGCCAGATCTTTACAGATTAGGAAATTAAGTCCCAGAATGGATGCCTGCCCTGTTAAATAGCTCTAAAGTGTCTGTTCTTCCTACCACATGTTTCTGGAACCCATCTCCTACTTCCAATATACTTTACCCTTGAGGCACACGGGGTTGTCAAGTAAGTAACTATGCTTTCTTTCTAACCAAAAACCAAACCAGTTGTCATTGAGTAGATTCTCACTCATGGCAACCCCATCTATTGCATAATAGAACTGAGCTCCATAGGGCTTTCATGATGATGACTGTTCAAGAGCATATTGCCAGGCCTTTCTTATGAGGTAACTCTGGGTGGGTTTGAACCACAAACCTTTCGATTCATGGTCAAGCATTTAACCATTTGCACCACCCAGGGACTCCACACTTTCTTTCTAGGAGGATTAAAATTGCTAAATAAATTAGTGGTGCAACTTAATTCTGGAAAATTATGTTTATAATGCTAGTTACTAACAGACATACCCTTTATTTTACAGTTACAAGGGAGGAGAAGAAGTCTGAAAAGAAATTTTGTCCCACAAATAAATCTGGCTTCTTCCTTCTTCCCATCCATTCCCAAGTAAAGAGAGGAAAATGAGAAAATGCTGCTGTGGCCTGGTCTGCACATAGGATGTCAAGGGCTGGGTGATACCTCGGGCTTTATTACAGGATGGGAATGAGCTTCCGCCAGATACTGTCAGCCCTCACCGTATTCTCAGGCCATCCTATTGAGGAAGGAGATTGCTCAGGGAGCACTGATGGCCTCAGCCCCCAATGCCAAGCAAGCAGCAAGCAGCCAGTTTGCCAACTTCTTTCATTTACTGAAATCCACTCAATGAATAAGTAGTGTTTCTTGTTCACTGTCAGCAAAATGACAATAAGGACAAAAATGAAAGCAGTAGCATAAATAGATTTAAATAATATGAGTTATCAGTGATTACCTTCCCTCACTGCTCACCCTATTCTGAGAATTGTTAATAGAAAACATGCATTAAGAGGCAAATTACTTGTGTCATGCTATGTGGTGTACAAACAGAATTATTATTAAAAAGAAAAATGAACCAGTTGGGTCTCTAGCTATTTGGCTTCTTCATTGGGGGATATGTTATCTGGAAAAAAATGTTTAGCTTCTTAGAAAAACTCAGAAATTATTATATTTGGTCTAGAAATGACTCTAGATAAGTAGAACTTGAATGGTTATATGAACTTTCAGAGGTTCATCTTTTATTCTTTAAATAATTGATCTTGGTATTATGGCCAAATCATTAATTTCACCAATGTGTACTCACATAAAAGATGAAAGCAGCTAAAGTTGATCAATAATTAATTAGACTTTAAATAAGTCAAAAGGCATGAGGAAAGTATTAGAATTGAAGCGTGAAGACTGGCTGACCTGGCCCTCTTCTGGAATGATTCTAAGCTTTGAATAATAAAAGTGTTTCCATGTCAAGGGTTAGTCTACTTTCTCCAAAGCACCAGGCCACTTGGTAAGAAGTAGTTGTGGTCCTTTAGTAGAATCTGATTCTACGTTTCTATTCTGTGTAGGGTGTTATAATTTTTAAAATCCCAACACCTTTGAAAATCTGTGAAGACTTATGGTCAGAATAATAACTCATTTTTAGCAAGTGTCAAGTAAAAACAAATCCAGGATCTGATAGGGAGACGCTTTATTCAGAAAGGAAAGGGGGAAAGAGAAAACGATGATTGTGGTAGTCGGGGAGGGGAGAACACCCAGACCATAAGATCTGCAAGCATCTCAGAGTTAGGGAAGAAGTGTTTTTTTCTTTTATAGAGACTGGGAGTAAACAAGCCTAGAAAAAAACGCAGGTGTGGGGAAGTAGGATGAAAGGGTGACATGGCTGGATAGTAAATTAGAATGTTTTACACTGAGGTCAGCCTGTTCTCCGGCAGGGGGTCTCAAAGAAGGGAGCATGTTGGCTCAGGCCGAAAACCAAAAGAACCCATTGCCGTGGAGTCAATAGGACAGAGTAGAACTGCCCCATACAGTTTCCAAGCAGCATCTGGTGGAATTGAACTGCGCAGTCATAGCACTTAACCATTATACCACCAGCGTTTCCAAGGTCAGGCTGAGGATGGGCCAAAATAAAGGAATTTGGGGGAAGGAGAGAAGCTTAAACAAAGACTGGTTAACAAGCACTCTGTTTCTGATTGGTCAGTGGCAGAGGTGGATTAACCAGTAAGCAAGGTACACACGGGTTTGCATTAAATAAGCAAGGTACGCTCGGGCTTACTTGTGTTTATTTACTAACCTGTAGTGCACAGTTTCACATACGTTTCACCACATCTTTGATGTAGCGAAAAACAGGTGAAATTGCGGACTACAGATTAGTAAATAAACCTGTGCGTGCCTTGCTTTTTGGGTAATCCGTCCCTGGTCAGTGGGGATAAGCAATTCAGTTACTCGTTTAGGAGGAAAGGAATGGGAATATGGAGGGTCTGTGTCACAGGTAAGTAAGGGGGCATCCGTGAGTCTTATCTAAGTCATATGGGAAGGGTGGTTATTTCCAGTTATCCGTTTTCCTGAACACAAAGTATAAGGGGATTTTTTAAAACATCACTGTTTTCCAGTATCACAGGTTTCAGGTAATATTCAACATTATCACAAGACTAGAGTGAAAAGTGGAAAATGTATACATTTGTGATCTTTTCACAAACCCTGTATCAAAAAACAAAAATAAACCTATTGTTGTCGAGTTGATTTTAACTCATAGAAACTCTATGAGTCATAAACCCTATATAGTATATATTATTGGCCCATGTCATGATAGGAAAACTAAGGAGATTTTTTATTCACATAAACTTTATATCGAATACATTTCTTGTTATATTTATTCCTAGGCATGCACTAATTTTTGTTGCTAACAGGAATGTGATAATTTTTCCTACTACTTTTCTTTTTCTCTGTATATCTTAATTACACTAAAGTTCAAGATAAAATATTGATCATTATGGTTTTTTTTTTTAATGATATGTACAATTTACTCACATGAAAGAAGACGGGACTCTAGAAAAAGTAGTATAGTTATGGAACATCAGCCACCTATCATCACCTACGTAAGTCAGGAGATTCTTTAGAAACAAAATTTTAAAAAGGAAAAGAACACTTCCAAGGAGTTTATAAAATGATTCCATTTCCCACCTTTCAATCTCAGTTGTACGAAGAAGTCCATTTCATCCCTAGGCATTGTTGTTGTGTGTGAAAAAATCGAGTCTGACTCATAGTGACCCTATAGAACAGAGTAGAACTGCCCCATAGGGGTTTCTAGGCTCTAATCTTTATGAGAGCAGATCACCAGGTCTTTTCTCCTGCGGAGCCGCTAGTGAGTTCGAACTGCTGACCTTTTAGTTAACAGCCAAGCACTTAACAATTGCACCACCCAGGGATCCTTTTATAGTCAATAGATTTCCTAAAACAAGACAATGTTGAACACCCTTCTTTGTACTCAATCCCTTTGATATGACATTCAAGAAAATACAGAAAACATTGCTTTGAAGAAAAACCCATTGCCGTTGAGTTGATTCCGACTCATAGCAACCCTACAGGGCAAAGTAGAACTGTTCCATAGAGTTTCCAAGGCTGTAATCTTTACAGAAGCCAACTGCCATGTCTTTCTTGCATTGGTGGGTTTAAACCACCGACCTTTCATTTAGCAGCTGAGCCCTTAACCATTGTGCCACCAGGGCTCCTCTGCTTTAAAGAAATCTGGGGGCCAATAAGATGATGAAGCATGAACATTACAAAATCTGGTAGAGGATGAACCTAAGGTAGGAGATCCCAACTTTTAAAGCCAATTTTCTTATGCAACTATTTTCTGATTCCAGAAGGGAGTATTAAGAGGCTAAGAAGCTGAAGGGTAATTAGGGCTAAGGGAAAAGGGAGTGGAATCTAGGCCTCATCAAGGCGTGAACCCCTTTCACTTTGGGTTGGGGCTATATCTTACAAATATGAGTGACACAAAAGTAGACAGATCTTCACTGGGGAATGCAGTTCAGTTTTCAATCATTTCAATCCGTGAAATTGGATTAACGAAATCATGAATTGCTAGAGCCCCAGGAGCCTGCAGAAGCAAAGGTAAATACTCTGGAGAAAGATGGCATCATCCTAGGCCTTAAATTATGACTTTACTATTCCAAATATATGCCTGACACAAATATATACAGGCATATATATATATATATATATGACACACACATAAACAATGACCAAATACACGAGGAGACAAGATAACAAGAATGACACCTGACAGATAAAAAGAGGTAATAGAAATAGACATACAGGAGCTCCAGATATTGGAGTTCTCAGATACAGACTTTAAAATATTTGTGCTCATTATATTGGAGGAGAGAAAACACAAGATGTAGAATTTCAACAGAGAAGTAGAAATTATTTATAAGAATCAAATGGAAGTTCTAGACCTGGAAAATACAATAATCAAAAATTCAGTCAAAGAACCTAACAGCAGAGCAGGCCAACTAATGGGAAAATTAGTAAACAAAAAGATAGATTTGAGGGAATTATCTATAATGAAACATGGAGAGACAAAACAATGAAAAAACAGAGAAGAGAGTAGAAGACCGAGTTGAGAGAGTAAGAAAAAAATCACTGGAATCCCAGAAGAAGGAAAAGAATAGCGTAGCAGCAATATACCAATTGAGTCAAGAAGAGCTTTAGGCAAAGTAAATATTAATAAAAAGAAATGCAAATCTACGCAATTATAGTAAAATCACTGAAAATAAAATAGAAAATTATAGAAAGCAACCAGAAGGTGAAAAAAAAAAAATTATCTTCTTGACAGACTTATGATCTCACCTGGGCTCACTCCCGCAGTTGCAGTGAGTGCCTGGATGATCTAAGATGGCCTCCCTCACATATCTTCTGTTTGGTGCTGGCTGTCCGTTGGACCTCTCTCTCCATGTGGTTTTCAACCCCAAAGAGGATAGCCCAGGGCTTTCTGAATATTCAAATTAGTTTAAAATGTATCCAAAAAATAAGACAGATTAATGGATAGAGGAATGGATTGATAAATGGATATGTGATAAAGCTAATGGTGGTCTCAGGGTTTCAAGGGGTTGAGAACAGAAGCTACAAGACCTCTGGAAGCCACAGGTGAGGCTCCTACTATGTCATTTCTGCTGCATTGTATCAGCAAATTAAGTCACAAAGCAAACTCCAAGACGATGGAGAAATAGGCATACTGTAAAGGGTCTAACACGCAAAAATGGGAGAAATTTGTGGTTATTTTCCTGTGTGTGTGATCTATCACACTCCCCAAATTGATCTTTAAATTCAATGCAATCCCAACCAAAATCTCAACACTTTTCAAATTTAACTTGACAAGCTGATTCAAAAATTATTGAAGAATATTTTAAAAGGCCAAGAATAAACAGGATACTCTTGAAGAACAAAGGAAGATAGACTTGTTTGACTACATATCAAGATGTATTATAAAGCTACAGTAATTACTATGTGGTATTGGCACAAGAATAGAATAAGTACACTGATGGAATGAAATAGAGAGTACAAAAAGGACCCTCACCTATTAGACATTTGATTTATGGCATA